GCTGGCGAGCTTCTTGTTCATGCGCGACGGAAGAGCTTTGCCATGCTTAGCATCGCTGAGCAGTTGTGCGCCCTTTGACATCATGCTTTCCAGCTTAGGGCCAAGCGAGGTGACGAAGAGCTGGCTCATGATGAAACCTTGACCATCGGCCAGCGTGTGATGGCCGCGAATGACACAGGCACCCTTAGCACCGCTCTCTTCATCGACGAAGTTCTCGAGAACAGCCGTCTCCCAGAGCGGACGAGAAAAGTCCCAGCCCTGAGCGATAAAGTCGGAAGCGAAGCTCTCCAGCTCTCGCTTGCCAGCCTTGCCCGGCAAAGTGTGTGAGCGCACGTGATGGTCAATGTCAAAGTCGGCGTCGTCGATAAAGATGCTACCGTGGAAAAAGCGGCCAACGTCGGCGAGCTTTTGGGTGTATTTGGGGAAGTGACCAATCTGACGTATCATCGAGTCTTTGAGGTCCTGCAGCTTGGCAGGCTCCTTAAAAGTATAAGTGGCAGTGCAGACGGGATTGAAAGCGCTGATGCCGTCCATGAGCAACCACATGTTGTCGAGACCGGCAATGGCGTTGACTCGGCTGTAGATCTCCCATTGGATGAGACGCTCGATCTGGTTAGCAGCTTTGATGGTGCTCTGGGCTACGCGTTCAAGGAGGCCACCCTTGCGCTGCTCAGCGAGCTTTTGGAGAGCATCTTCAGTGCGCTCTACGGCGTTGTGAATGGCGGCGCCCAGGGTGGGTGTGTTGTAGCCGGATTCCCAGGGACTCTCGTCGAGCGCAGAAGCAACACCAGGGAAGAGTGGGAAGAAGGTCTTGCTGGCCAAAGAAGAGCTGCAATTAGCTTCACCATTGCCGTTGCCGTTGGTGATGCCATTCATTCGTGCAAAGCGACAAGAAGATTGCAATTTGGAGCTGTTTTGGGCTGATCCGTTGGCGCCGTCGAACTTGACCGTCTTGCCGTTTGCTTCCGCGTTGGCAGCTGCACCCGCACCCGAGCCGTTGTCCTTTGCAGCAGGGGACCAAGGGTCTGCTGGAGCAGATACTGCCGCTGTCGTTGCCGCCATCTTCGCAGGTCCGAGAGGTTTCTTTTTTTTTGCGGTCGAGGCGGAGCAGCTGCTGGGCCGGGTTACTGTGGAAAACAGACTGGTGGCTGTCGAATTTGTCAAGGTCTAATCGAGGGGTGGTGTAGGTAAGGTCGAGAAGTGTGGCGAGAAGGTTCGATTCAGGCCACAATCATCGTGGACGGGCGAGAATGGAATGGGAATCGATTGGGAATCGAATGGAGCCCTTCTATAGTAGTGACGTAGTTATACCGATGAAAGCTGAAGGGGAAACATTTGATCTTGTGTGAGAGTAGGGTGTCAAGGAAGCGAAGGTAGCGAAGAAAGGGGGGGGAACGTCATCGATTGAGAAGTTCGGCTATGGATTCGGGATAAAAAAAGATCTCCCGATTTAACATTCACTGGGTCAAATCTCTTTGTGGAGGTCCATTTTAGAAATGTTAGCTCGCCGTCTCTCACAAACTTCAATCTAGTGTCAACACTCAAGAGCCGAGTTCCGCGTGTTGGAAATAGCGCGTTCGGCAATTCGTATTGACGTTGTTGATCCATCCTTCTCATCCTGTTCTTCTGTACTCTTCACCCTCATCATATCCCCCGCTATCCACAAATATCACAGCCACTAATTGACGAGACGAGAGGTAGTATTGTGCGCTGGAGACCTACTACCGCGTATCTTGTCTGCACTCTTAGAGGCAGCGCAGCATATAATCTAGATTTCCGTCAAAGCACGGCACAGACACCAGAATGCCCACTCCATCCGCGACGGCAGCGGACGACAAGGCGGTTGCCGCTGACCAGGAGCAACGAGGTACAGACAAACCCGAACCGGCGGCAATATCCACACCTAAGAATGCTTTGACACCTCTTACGGGAACTGCATCCGGCTCAGCTCCGGCAAACGAAGCTTCAGCAGGGAGCGTCTTCAGCAGTCCCGACATGACAGCTGCTGTGCTTGCATACCTTCATAGACGCGGCTTTGATCGAGTCGAGGCTGCTTTCAAAGCTGAACTTGATGCGCTTGCTTCCGGTGCGACCGCAGAACAGGCCGCTGCTGCAGCTGACCTGCTCGGACGCGCACCCACAGTTGGCCTCGAAGATCTGGCAGTGAAGAACGCACCGCGCACGCTTGCAGACAAGGACGGTGAAAAGGACAAAGACGGAAAGGATGGGAATGATGTAGCAAGCAAGGACAAGGGCAAGGACAGGGACAAGACAGCGGCCGTCGCCGCGGATGCGGATCTTACTTTCGCAGAGGATGGGGATGTCTCGGCTGCAGCAACACAAGCACTTCTGCTCGACCCAACCGATCGTGCAAGAGGGTTCGCTATGCTCAAGTCATGGTGTCAGGGAAGTCTCGACATTTATCAGCCTGAGCTGCTGCCCATCCTGCTACCACTTTTCATTCACTCTTTCCTCGATCTGGTTCTAATGGGTCACGGTCCAGCTGCTTCGGCACTCTACACAGCACACGCCGCATCCTTCCTGCCCACGCATACGGCACTGCTTTCTCAGATTCGCTCGCTCGCACTGCCATCGCACATCCAGTCCGACCCTCTCGCACAACGCTTTCGCTCGGAACGATACGTGGTCAAGATGTCCAATACCGTCTTTAGTCTTCTCCTTGGTTGGCTTACTGATGGAGGCGGACCGGTCTCGGGCACAACAAATGGGCTCGAGGAAGCAGAGGCGCCTGCAAGGCGAGGCAGGGAGGCCATGCTCAAGATTATCAACGAGCGCTGTAGGATTCAGCTTCTCGCTGCACAGCCATACCAGTTCGACGCTGTTGTGTTGGAAGAAGGCACAGGTTTGACCGGAGCAGGGCCGACATACTCGAGTGTGACCACAAGCGCAGCAGGTCGAAGTCGTATCCACTCATCGCTGGCCAAGGATGCGGTCTCGGGGGCAGATGCGCTAGCTGTATTCAATGCCAAAGCCGCTGGTCCTCAGCTTAAGCTGCATCCATCTGTGCCTTTGACGGAAAGGCTCGAGAACGAAGTGCAGAAGGAACTGCAGCAAGTCGATCGTCGCGAAAAGGAGACCGTTGCCGCTGTGCAGGCAGCAGAGGCAAAGAGCAAAGAAGCCGAGGCATCTGCTTCGGCCACTGCCACTACGCAAGAGGGCGGTGAAGAAGGCAACACCAGCCAGCAGCAGCAAGACGGCGACACCACAATGCAAGATGCCGCCGAGGGTAATACTGCCGAAGATGCCGATGGATCTGGCAGGGCGAGAACAACGTCAGTACGACCATCCGAGCCGCCATCATCAGCTGCTAGCCCTGCTGCTCCTACTGCTGCCGATGCCAAAGCTAGTGCCTCCTCTGGTCCTGACTTCTCTGTCGGTCTTCTAGCAGCTAGCATCACCGATATGCCACCACAAGCACCCACCTTCCGCACTGTCGATGTCAAGCGCGAGGTGCAACGCGTTCGCGACGCTCGCAAGCGCATCCGTCTCGACCCTTCTCTAGTCAACGGATCTGGATCGACATGGTCGACCTTGAGCTTCACGTCGGGTGTACGTGATCCCAGTGTCAACGCTCTAGGCGAGCAAGGCGCTCACGCTGCTCGAGTTGCCGCGCTTCCCTCAGTGTGCGCTTATACCTTTCACGATGCCGATGACGGCGTCACATGCTCCACCTTTTCCGACGACATCACTCTGATGGCCGCTGGCTTCGAAGAGTCTTTCGTCCAAGTCTGGTCGCTCAAAGGCGAGAAGCTGCGCGGCATTCGCGGAAACCCGAATCTGTCGTCAATTCGGGACAGCAAGACACTGGTGAGGCAGCGAGAAGCCGAATGCTACTCAACACGTCGATTGATCGGCCACTCGGGGCCAGTCTACGGAGTTGACTTTGACCCTGTTGGTGGGTCGGCATCCGCACCGCGACATTTGCTGAGTTGTTCAGCCGATGCAACAGCGAGATTGTGGAGTCTGGACACGTACAGCGCGCTAGTCGCCTACAGAGGCCACCAGCATCCAGTGTGGGATATCAAGTGGAGTCCGATCGGAACCTACTTTGCCACCGGTAGTGCGGACAAGACAGCACGTCTGTGGAGCACCGAACGTGTCAATCCCTTGCGAATGTACGCCGGCCATCTTTCGGACGTCGACTGTCTTACCTTCCACCCGAACAGCTTGTACCTTGCTACAGGTTCGTCTGACCGGAGCTGTCGATTGTGGGATGTACAACGTGGTGCTTGTGTGCGACTTTTCGTTGGACACCAATCACCGATCTCCTGTCTGAAGATCAGCCCAGATGGTGGTTACCTTGCCTCAGCAGCAGCTGGTAACGGTACAGCATCCCAATTTGTTGGCGTCGACGGCGTAGACCGCATCTCGAGAGGAGCGCACATTAACGATGTCTCCATCTCACTGTGGGACCTGGCAAGCGGACGAAGGATCAAAAAGATGTGGGGCCACAGCGAACGGATCTATTCGATGGACTTTTCCGCCGATGGTTCATTGTTGGTGACGGGCAGTGAGGACTGTAGTGTGAGATGCTGGGATGTTCGATCGGTAGGAGGTGTAAGGAAGACACCCGCAAAGGGATCGTTGGAAGCTCAGCAAGCGTCAGCAGCAGCAGTTAATCAGACCAGCGGAGCAGATCTGACGAACACGAGTGCTGATTGTGTGGCTACATTCCACACTAAACGTACACCTGTGCTGGATGTACACTTTACTCCGCGAAATCTTTGCCTCGTTGCGGGTGTCTACGAGGATTAATGGAACTGCTTCTTGGTTGTAGTCTTACCCTTCGTATCTTGCTTGCCACAAAGCTCGGGCGTAGATGTCCATCTTGTGTCTCGTGTGGCTTATTGAGAAAGTCCGGTTGAGAACTGGTCTGTGAAATCTGTCCGAGCCTCTTAGGGCAAGGCTGCAAGTCGAACTTGTTCCGATTTGGCGTTGCTACTCAAATGATCTAATAATGCTCGTATGATCACGTGTGGGCGTCGGTCGTATAATGGTTATTATTCCTGCCTTCCACTCATGATACGGAGTAACTCGATAGCAGGAGACAGGGGTTCGATTCCCCTCCGACGCAGCTTTTTTGGTTCCTTTTTTTGTTGTTGCCCAATCCAACTTTCGAGTTCAGCTGAGTGGTGGCAGCTCTCGTGGGGGGGCTTCGATATTCTGTTCCCCTAAGTTCGCTGATGGCTACAAGAGTGGGAGATGAGAAAAGTGATCCATGCTTCTCTGAGAGGAAACGGAGAGGACAAGGTGGATGCTCGGGCCTCCTTTGAGTTGAGCAAGGGTGAGAGACGCGCGCGTACCTTCTCTCTGTCGAAGGATCTTGCGCTTTTTCTTGTTTCTCTGTCTCATTTGGCGTCTCTGGCGAGCTTTTTGGTTTTAATTCGCGCTGGGCCCAGGGTGAAGGCGTTGATTTTTGCTGCGTCTCGAAGTGTATTCATTGCTTCCGAACTATTCCTCAAATCCCGAAATACAACAAGCGCGACTTTTGAAAAGGGAATTTTGGAAGTGATCACTAAATCTGATTACAAAAGAAGAAAATATTGGTATTGGCTCTCGGGGACTCTAATTGCGACTTGAATTCCAGGGTCGCGTGGATACAAACTGCTGCGTGCTTGTAGACTTGGGCTGAACAAATTTTCAAGTGTTGGTGTGCCTCTTGTCGTGCTGGCTGTGATTTGGAATACATTGTCGTCTTCAGCTCAACTGCCTCTCAATCTTGGCCTGCGCTTTCGCGACACAAAACAGCAGCAGAAGCAGAGAGCGCGAGACAGAGAGCCTGAGAGAGAGTGTGCAAAAAAAAACTCGACTGGCGCGGCTCAGCCAAGAATCGCAACTCAAAGCAGCTCGCCACCGCAATTGTCAGTCTATCAGCTCGTCTTGCAAGCTGATATTGACCTCTTGCTCACCCATCATCCTCCTTGCACCCCTACACACAAGCTGTGTTTCGTCTGTCGCACCACTCAACCTCCTCCATCGCGGCTTGGCATCCTCACAGCAAATCATACTCACACACATCACATAGCCTCCGGTCTGGGTTCTTTCATCGACCTCTTATCGAAACCTCTTTCCAGTCAGCTTTAGGCCTTTCCTTGCTTTCTTCGTTTACGATCTTTTCTTTCATACGCACGACACTCCTTGCACCCGTCCACTTGGCCCTCTCTACCAGCTGTCGGCCTCAACGGATCAGCATACTTACGCCTTCCGACCGCATTTCCCATCCGGCTTATCGCTGCTGCCGAGCTATCTCTCAGTTTAGCTTGCATACTAGATCAGCGCCGCGCACTTGGCCCATCTTCAGCACCTTTTGCCATCTTTAGCGCTGGCAGTACCTTCAGAAGCAGCTCGCTTGTTTCTCTCGTAACTTTGGCCTTCCCTCTTTCAGCAAAGCTCCAGCATATCAAGCTAGCATCGAGCTTCTTCTCTTGTCCGTAAGTAATCGACTCTCATGTGCTCTCGAAAAAGCATGTCGCCATGTACCCGTAGCCAACGATTAGAGATCATGGTTCGAATCAGCACGCCCAGCATCGTCCGCTCAGGCTCTTATCGCCTCGTACCCGAAGCGAAGCACAACATTGCCAACCATCTGCTCCACCTCGCGAGCTCATTGCTGGTCCTCACCTTCCAATTGGATTACTTCCCCGCTCCCTTCTCCAGTGGAGCAAGCAATTGCGTCAATCGCAGTGCCGCTTGCTTGTCTCGATCTTGCAGACGTCCACACGACCCGGCAATGCGATCTTCAACAGCTCTGCCGGCACCAAAGTCTCCACGATCAACTAGGCTCATCATTCTGACACACTCCTCACTACTTTCTTTCCCTTCTTGTCCATTCCTTGATCACCGTATATGCACTCGGTCTTCCACCGTACCACCGACGCATCTTTGGCTATACATTGCAAATCCTTGTTCCCCATCACATATCACCCCACTCAACAGGCCGCTCACCACGTAGCACAATGGCCGACAACACTACCCCCGAGGTCGATCTCGACAATGTCATCGACCGTCTCCTAGAGGTCCGTGGCTCGCGTCCTGGCAAGCCCGTCCACCTCGAAGAGTACGAGATCAAGTACCTCTGCTTGAAAGCGAGGGATATCTTCATCAACCAGCCCATCCTTCTCGAGCTCGAGGCACCCATCAAGATCTGCGGTGATATCCACGGCCAATATTACGACTTGTTACGTTTGTTCGAATACGGTGGCTTCCCTCCCGAGGCCAATTACCTCTTCCTCGGTGACTACGTCGATCGTGGGAAGCAGTCTCTCGAGACCATCTGCCTTCTGCTCGCATATAAGATCAAGTATCCCGAAAACTTCTTCATTCTCCGCGGCAACCACGAGTGCGCCAGTATCAACCGCATTTACGGCTTCTACGACGAGTGCAAACGTCGTTTCAACATCAAACTCTGGAAGACGTTCACCGACTGCTTCAACTGCCTCCCCATCGCCGCCATCATTGACGAAAAGATCTTCACCATGCACGGTGGTCTTTCACCCGATCTCCAAAGCATGGAGCAGATCCGCCGCGTCATGCGACCAACCGACGTACCAGACACCGGCTTGCTCTGCGATTTGCTCTGGTCCGATCCCGACAAGGACATTTCCGGGTGGTCAGAAAACGATCGTGGTGTTTCCTTCACATTCGGCCCAGACGTCGTTTCGCGGTTCCTGCAAAAACACGATATGGATCTCATCTGTCGAGCGCATCAGGTCGTCGAGGATGGTTACGAATTCTTTGCCAAGCGACAGTTGGTCACATTGTTCTCGGCGCCCAACTATTGTGGAGAGTTTGACAATGCAGGTGCAATGATGAGCGTCGACGAGACACTCTTGTGCTCCTTCCAGATCTTGAAGCCAGCGGAGAAGAAGCAAAAGTACGCATATGGTGGAATCAACATGGGTCGTCCCGTCACACCTCCCAGAAAGCAGAAGAAGAAGTCAGATGGCAAGTAGAGCGTGTCGTTGCAGGTTACAGTGCCCGGCGAGGGGAAACGAGCGGGGAAAGGCAACCAGCAGCTACAGGCCGGGCAAGCAGGAGCGCGAGACGCACCCATCTGGGCTAGAAGGCATCTCATCACAAGCAACCCGTCATTTGGAATCGTCCCACAAATTTGTGTGTGTGTGTTAGGCGACCGGCTGGGCTCGACGAGTGTTGGCGCCTTAGGACTCCCTCTCAGCACGGATGGCCATTTGCACAGTAGATCGCAGGCCTTAATTGCTGGAGAGCAATCCCACTACCTCTCGGGCTTCATCTGCAATACACGACGGTAGTCTCGCACAGACTTGGCTCGAGTTGACAACCTCGAAGCTGTCTTTGTCTTTACAGTCCGAGTTTCAAAATGTCCTCTACCCAAGAATCGCTTTCTCCCTTCTCCTTGCCTATCCACTCCCTGCCTGATGCTCACTCTACCTTCACTCTGCTTCGCTACCAACCTGACTCTTCTCAAAGCCGCGCTGTCTCTACTTGCCCCTTTACCCACCATTCCTCTTTTCTTTCTTTTCTTTCTTCGATGTCTCGTTTGTTCGTTCACCTGATAACAATGTGGTAGCACGTTACCAATGCAATTGCGAATCTTAAATCCTCTTATCTTGCTCTGCCTTGGTGATGCGGGATTCACTCTGAGCGTGTGTAAGACCACGGAGGCATGAACAAAGCTCGAATGCATTGCTTTGCATTGCTCTGCATTGCTTTGACTTGCAACAAGCGGGTGTGGGAAGATGTGAAAGAGTGAATCTACTTGCTACCGCGAATCGCGAACGAAACCAGCATGGTGATTGGCAAATTTCGACCCCAAACCCTATGACAATACTGGCTTATACTATCCTCTCCTATCCCCGCCACGGGAACTACTACCAACATGGCCCCAACCAGGCGCATTGCTTTCCACACTTTGCTGCCACCGGCTGATCAAACTCGACACACCATTATATCTATCCCCTTCCACTCTCTCATCCTCTTGTCCTTCTCGAACACCATCTATGTCACCTTGATCTTCGTCTGCGGTGTGAAGACGAGCAGTAGAAGCAGCAGGAAGAGCACTGTTTTTTACAATACTACCCCGGGTTGCTGCAGCTCGGAGTGCAGCTTCACGTTCCCAGGGTTTGCTTAAGCCTGCACTACGTAGGTCAGCGGACTTGTTCGGACGGATAGGCGTGGGTCTTTTGAGCGCTTGGATGATCGTTGGTTCTGACTGTGAGGGTGGGTCGGAGATCGTGGAGGAATGGCAGGAACGGTAGGAGACGAGTGTTGATGCTCGGATCGGCTTCGGCTCCTGTGGCTGTGCCTGCTTGGTAGTTGGTGAGGTGAGAGAGAAGGACGAAAATCCATCTTTGACAGTGTCGACTGAGGTTTGCGGTGAGGTAGAGGTAGGGGATGCAACTGAGACGGGAGATGTAGCCACTTCTACTAGCTGCTTCTCCTTCTTTTCAGGAACAGGCGCCGAGGTGGACGATTCAGGGTGCCAACGACCTGCGATGCCTGAAGAACTCTGTAAAGGCTTATGTGTCAACAGAGCAGTCTGCGACTCAGACTGAGACTCCGGCTTACCACCGCTCTTGGACAGAGTCACAGGTTTGGCCATGATCTCAGGCTTGGACAAAGCGCTCCTCTCCTCTTGCATATCCTCATCGTCATCGTCCCAAGCAGGTGCTTTCATCTTGGCCACACTTGTCACCGATGAACACTCTTCACCTTTCTCCTCCCCTTTCCCCTGCTCCCCTACACCATTAGTAGCAGGTGTTTCGTCAGCAGGCCCACGCAACAGCTCCTCTAGTTGATCCTGTGCCTTTCTTGCCGCCTCATCTAGTTGTTCTGCTGCTGTAGCATCTGTGATCGGCGAGACAAGTTCGCAAGCCGCCGACTTTTCCGGTTGCGAGATGATTGGGGTAGAGGTTATCAGTCTCTCCGCTGCAGTAGGGGAATCTACTGCGTCGACGAGCCAAGATGGAGCCTTGACTCGGCCGGGAGTGATGCGTGATCTTTCGGGTTTGCTCGACGACTTTCCGTTCGCCTCGGTATCATTCTGAGGCTGGTCACCGGCGGGACGGCGGTTGAAGGAAGACAGTCGATCAGCTG